GGTGCGGTAAAACGGATACCAACAAAGCCAGAGAGGAGATTGTCGCCTTCTGCCCAAGGGAATGGGGAGCTGGAAGGTTCCCTGGCTGAGACGGGCCAAGAGAATTTTACTGCTCCAGAGCTGTCAAAACTGCACACATTGAATCCAAATAGAGGATGAGGGTAGAGAAAAATGTATATTTAATGTTCTACAGAAAAACAGTGATAGGTTTCCGATTGCTGGTTTGGGTTCCTTTTTAAGTGGGAGAAAAGATATAATAGACATTTCTAAGTCTAGGGATTTTCTGTGCACATAGGGTAAGCAGAGGCAGGGAGATTTACATTTTTGCTGGGCCTGATATTGAGCCCTTCTGGGAACCTGTAGGAGACCAGATTCTCAGTGAGACTGAGCAATTGCAGAGCCTAGAACCAGCACAATCAAAACTATAGCCATGAGGATCCCTGACACTAAATCCCAGGATCTCAGGGACATGGTAGTTCCGGAAATGTAGTAATGGATCAGTTAGGCAGACCTGACCTCACCTAGAAGTGAACTCAGGACACTAAAATTTTAGGTGCTTATTTGGAATCTGCTAGTCCTTTGGATTTTTCCTAGAGTCTCTAGGTTTGAGTTTAGCCTAAATAACACTCCGCCCTTAAAGATTTTGGAAGGAAATTTGATGGCTGGGAATAGCTATAGCTATTTTCATCCTGAGGGTTATGACTATATGAAGAGTGGAAACTGTTTGTCCTGGCGGTTTCTTCTAGGTAATCGAAAAGTTGAGAATTCTGCCATGAGCTTTTGGATAAAAATTCACTTCTGAGGATGAGTGCAAAAGAGTTGACCAGAGACTGGTCTCTTTCCCGTCTGTCTATTGTCATGGTTGTCATGGTACTTGAGTCACCTTGTCCCCTGATCTCTTGGACTTGTGAAAGATGCTTGGCTTGTCACTGATTTTGGATTTCCTCTTCTGTCCCCTGTTGGATATCAGATAACAACTTTGGGACTGGCCCATGGTATTAAGAATGACAGCTGCAAGGGAACCAAGTCTGTCCATGTCTGTTACAGAGTACACTGGGCATGTTCATCTTCCGGGCCAGCACAGAACACAGGTGGTCACAGAGGACAGGGTGTTTTATAGCTCTTTGCTCACTCTACTGATTAACTACTAGTCTTGATCCCTGAGAAGAAGGAAAATGGGAAGGATTATTTATGTTGCTGCTTCTTTAAAGAAAAAAAAAGAATCAATACTGAGAGGTTCTTGAATGGGAACAGAATAATTTCAGGGATTACTTTAAGAAATAGTCTTGTCTCTCTTGTGACTGGGCATATCTCATAATTAAGGGACCATTCCAGGCTGTGTCTGTCAGCAATGGTCTCTCTACATTCCTTGACGCAACTTAGCCACAAGTTTTGTCCCAGTTGCCTGGGCACAGGGCGTCTAGGTCCCAGGCTGTGTCTGAGTTGCCATCTCATCTTCAGCAGCCAAAGCCTTTCTCTTTCAGCCTAGTGGGAGTCAGTGTCCCAGGGGTGACTAGGTGCTGACTGGTTGTCTGGCAGAGCTTGAGTTTGGCCCTATAAATAGCTCTGATGACTGCCCTGTGCTTGTTGCTGTCCTTCCAACTTAGAGCTGGCAGCTTCAGGCTTTTTCTCCCTGGTACACTCAGGAGCATTCCCCAACCTGGGCCTTGTACCCATTCATTTGTTCATTCATTCAGCAAACATATTTGCCAAGTCCTAATCTAATCACTGTGTACATAGCTCAGTAATTAAGAAGCACAGGCAGACCTGGGTTTGAATTTTGGCTTTTGGTACTTCTTGGTGATCCTGAGCAAAACAGTCTCCCTGAACATTAGGATTCTTATCTGCAAATGAGGGTGAGATGGGGAGAATGGAATAGTAGTCAATTTTCACTTAAGAAGGCATGAGATAATAGTATGTTCAAACAATTCAGCACAACTACTGTGTTGTTGTAGAACTGGATACATGTCAGCTGATAGCATTTGGATCAGAGATGGTTCTTTGGAATATTGGAGCTCAGTAAATAAATAATTATAATAATTTTATTACAGTGTTATGTGCTAAAGTGGAGGCTTGGTCCCTCTTTATTTCTTTTTTATTTTTCCTTTTCTCTTTGAAAGATCTTGCCTTTGCTCCCCGAGCTTTGCCCCCTTGAAAATCTAATGAAACCTAAGTATATTTCCTACCTGTTTACACTTCCGGAAAAAGAGGTCTGGTAAGCTCTCATGTGAGTCTAGGGGAGCCTGTTCTGCGTTAGTTCTCTCAAGAGACGTGCAGGCGATGGAACTTTTCTTTGAGAACTTCCCTGTTGAGTGGTCAGCAGTGCAGCCCAGCAACCTCTCACCCTAAGATCGCTGTGACCCAGGGTGAGAGATGCTGCAGGAGGTCTCTTGTAGCTGGAACAGTTTAGAATTCTGAACTCTCCCTCCCACTGGTCTAGGGAGAGAGTCAAGCCTCAGAGCTCATAAGGTAGTAATTGCCCCAATTTGGGGGCTGGGCTGTTGGGAGCCTGCTTCCCCCATAACAACCGTCTTCAATCCAAAATCCTGTCAATGTGCGGTGATAATTGATACAGACCTCCAGCTCTGGACTCCTCCACCCCAAGTTTGACCCCCCCATTGTCTTTGTTTCTTCTTTTTAAGTTGGTGTCAGTAATGCGATGTTTCTGGGAGCTGTGGAAAGTTGACTGCAACCCAGAGCAGCCACTTAAAAGAATGGATTCTCAATACCTTCCAGACGGTCCTTTGAATATTTTCTGTTCTGCATTTTTGATTTAGCAGGAGCAAACACCCTAGGTGCCCTTGGGCACCTCTTACGCCCATCGGAGCAGGCTTCTTTCTTTCAGTGCACACAGGCATTCCCATTCCTGCTCCCTGACGCCCTGCTCCCCCATTATTCAGGTGACAGTGAGGAGGGGAGGAGTGCTGCCTGAGACCCAGCTGGGGAAAGCCTGGCTGGGACTTGTGGCAAGCCCTGACTTGGCCTGTAGGAGCTCTCCCTCACCTCTGTGCTGAGCCCAGGATCGGAGCAGCAGCCAAGCCGGAAACAAAAGACTGGGAGCAAACCTCCCATCTGGCCTGGGAGGCAGCGACACAAAGGTGCTGCTGCATAATTTATCACCGGAGGTTTGTACAGCCAGGAAGCTCCTGACTTCAGGCAGTGCCTTTTAGAGAGAGAGGGACCCTCCCCCTGTCTGGGTATAGGGCCAGGCAGGTACAGAGTAGGGTACTGGAAGAGATACCGGATTAGCACGTGGAATGAAGAGGCTGTGGGTATCTCCA